AGTACACCTAAAGCACCCCCTCTTCAACAATGTGCAGCATTTCAGTCTATATGCTCTGCAAGTTTCCAGGCAGTACGCAAACCACAACCACAACCACAGCGACTGTTGTTTTTCAGCTTAACACAAAACAGACGTGAGAACATGACCATCTCCTCTATGATTTCTGGGGTTTTTCAATGTAATTAGTCAGGGAGGGCTGTTAGTCGAGGGAAATGGGCCAGAGGAGAGGAGGTTCTCACGCCTGTGGAACCAAAACAAACAAAGCCCTGCTCCGGTAACACAGCAGCAAACAGCCGCTGATAGGGGTTATCTGTGCAGTCACTCATGGGCCATTTCACAGCACTGAGCACCGAGCAACTGTAATGGCCCCTGCAACTCAAGGAACACAAACACAAGAAAGTATGAGACACACTACATGCTTTTTCTGTGATTTTAAGTTAAACTGTACCATTGTCTCCTGTAAGAAAATGTAATGAGACTGCTACTATTTCTTTTCCGTTTTTCAAATAAGGATGAAATAGTTTTCTGAAATCAAATCATCCATACACTTCGGGATGTTGTTTCCCTTGGCAGCAGTAAACTGAGATCTACTAACAGACGTTACTCAAAGACATTAAGTAAACCTTCTGTAGTTAACAAACATTGATCAAAGAGGTGTTGTTCTCTGGAAATAAAGCCCACATTGCATTTACTCTTAACCACAAATAATTGAATCCTACAATAACTGATACTTCATGACGCTGTGTCTGCTGTATGGCGCCGAGCATGTAGCGTGCAGTCAGGACTTTTTTAATGAAGTAATCTCACAGTCTGTTTACAACAATAAACATTTAAGAGCACCAATTATCTTGTTAAATTTGTAGTCTATTCCCGATTAGAAGCTTACATGCCTAATGGAAGCCATTTAGCCTAACTTGCAACAACATTACATTTGGTGTAGAAGCTGCTGATGACCTGCTTTCTCTCCATGATGGCTCCAGTTGTGGTAACGGCAAAAACCCGTCTGTCAAAACTGAAACTCCCCCTGAAAAATTGTTTTAAAAAAACTCACATTCATCGCATGTAATTAAAAGCACAACACATTCACAAATATTAGGACTTTGAAAATAGATAATAATGTTGGCGTTTGAAACTTAATTGATGTTGTTAGTACCCACCCACGCAAGTATTGAACCAATCAAATTACAGAACCAATATTGTTAGTTGGTACCAAAAACACTCCTTTTTTGCTATCAAAATTCTTAGCCAAATCCGTTTATGAGTAACAACATACAAGGACTTACCCAGATTTCTTAACAAAAATACATCTTAATTTCAGTCAAACATTAAAGGTTTAAGTTTTAAGTTAATATAACATCAATGCACACATTTGCAACGATTAAAGGGTAAATAAAAAAACTAAATTTGGTCTCTTTCACCTGTCAATCAATTCACTAATTACACATGTATATTCACATTACGCTGTAAGTTAATGTCACTTCTATTCGGTTGTGTCTTTTGACTGTCTTTACTGTGCTTTAATAACAAGCCTGCTATAAAGTATATCCTTCTAGCATTAACATAACTATAGAACTACATCAGTAGCCAACAGAACCTGTCTTCATTTAAGAATAATACTCATGTTTTGAATGATGCAGCTGTTAGGTATCTTTCATGAATGCTTACTTGCTGGTCCCTCTGCTTTGTGCCACCTCTCCATCATGAGAGAAAATACATAAGAGGTAAATGCTTAAAAGCCAAGCAGCAAAAGCAATAGCTGCAGTGTGGAATCCATCAGACAGGCCACAAGTGTTGGTATATGATGGAGATGGCAGATAAGCCCATGTGTTTAGCTATGGGAGTGGGTGTAGTGAAAGCGGATCAGTCCACAGCAGTGTTTAGAGGTTCAAACGCCCCTCTGGGGAGGAGAACGGATCGATCCTGCATGGCTCTGAGCCAATCCTCTCCCTGCCTTCAGCCAGAAATTCATCCACACTATATATAAGCCTCTAAGCCTTCAGTCATACTGTATAATAAAGCACTGGGGTACAGGATTTCGCCATATACTTTTGTGCTTCACCAGTAGCTGTATTATGAAACCCATGCCCTGTGTTTATGAGCCAACTAAATAAAGATTTGTTTAGGTGGCTTTTCACAGAGAACCCTGCCGCATCGCCTTGTGGTGCATGCGTTGTCGTCATGATACTTTGATTAGAGGGAGCCATGGAGATAAACTGTAACTGCTCCGTTCTCATTAGTCGGAGTGAGTCTGCGAGGTTCCCACCCACAGGAGCTCCTCCCAAACCCACACGAGGAACAGGGCACCCCAACACAGCCTGCAGGGACAGGACACAAACACCACAGCTGCCACAGCACCGTCATCAGCACTCACACTCAGGGGACAGCAAGCACACTCAACCCTCTTTCCAGCAATAAACAGCCTCAGAGGACGATATAAGTGGCACAGCAACAAAATGGGGTTTCCCTGCAGGGACACTCCATGGGCCTTCAACAGAGAGTGTGACATGGTGAGCGACAAACATCCAAAGTGAAACAGATGCATCACAATCCATGTTTAAACAAACTCACTGATGCCCTTTGTGTAAACAGGCGGTAAACATCCCTAGAGCCTGAAAGCTAGGCTAGTTAGGATCGATGGCTGCGGCCTGGTAGAGGTCAGCCCCTATTTGGGGGACAGGAAAAAGGAAATTGGATGAAGAGGAGGCAGCAGGTGTCCGGGCTGTTGTCCGTCAGGCAATGCTGTGACAGGTTTATCCCAGCCGAGGGGGAATGTTACACACCGAACGGCACAATGAGGACCGATAAACGTCAGGCCTAGCCTCAGCGCCGTGGTAATGGCTGACAAACGGCTCAGTGGCTCATCTCACAGTCAGTCAAACACAGACATACTGAAGCTTTGTGTTTTGTTCTATCAGACGGGAAAACACCGACGGCTCTCCTGACAGTCATGCAGACATAAAACCGCTCCCATCTACAGCATTTCAAACATTAAAGGAAAAAAACATCTTGAAAACACTAATATATCTATTGCTATACTGTATGCTGTCTATAGCCCATTCATTAAGTGCTCAATCAATTTACTTGACATATGGGTTCAAAGCCTTTCCAAGGCCTTTATTTGCCTTTACACATGTTACGATTTTTTTTATGTAGCACTTCTGTTATATATAAATATTGTAGGCATCGGATAATACAAAATACTTTCTACATGTTGGGATTGTTCTGATCATGTATAATTAAGATGTCCCATTTATTGTGTCTGTTTTCCTCTTTCTACAGCATGAATTCAACAGCAATGCAATCCAACTTACTGAATAATGTCATGGTTTCTTTTTTATAAAACAGTCTGACCATTAATTTTCATTCATATTTATTTTAAAAAGGAGCAAGTACATGGCTTCGCCCAAAGCCACATACCACAGAATGTATAGCGTGAGCTAGTTTGCAACGCCCATCTGTAGCTGGGCTAATATAAACACACTCGCAGTGTAACAACTAGGCAAATAGATGACTACTACTTATTACAATTGTAGGGATTTTTGCTGATTTTAACAATGTATTACATTTTTACTGTTATTTCACAAATCACAAATGCAAATGTAAATGATGCAATGCAAAATAATCAAAGGTGACATAATGCAGATTAATGCATAGTGAGGTCACCTTTTGTATATCCTATGTGTATGACCCTGTGCCTCTGGTAACGCTCTAATGTTACAGAACGCCTTCAAAACCAAAACGTATCTGACTTACAGAGAGAGTTTGACTCAATTATTGTGGATTTAATCAATGGGGTCTTCAATTAAATTGAAGACCCCACCTGTTCATCAAGCCTCTAACAGAAATAACAATCATTAGCTTGATTTATAACTGACTCTTACACAGTGATGTATAGCTGTATCAGACATAGAAGAATAATTCAGGCAGCTGAGATTTGTCCAATGCTGCTTCCTCCAGATGTCTAAACCTCCTCCATACTTCTGCTTCAAACACTGAGACAGCAGGGAGGTTAATACACACACAAAGACGAACAGAGAGTGTGTTTAGCTTCAGTGGAGCACGGCAAAAAAAACATCTGGTCTAGTTTTAAAAAGGTAGCAGTCATCACAGAGAATTATAGTCCACCAAATAAAGGCTGTGCTGGGAGGATTTTACTCTAAAGTGACATGGTATTATAACTTTTATACTACTACCGTTACCAGAAGTAATTGTTCCCTCACTCAAGATAATGTTGGTCCCATGCTCTACTACAGAACCCATATTCGGCATAAAACACTTTTGAATCGCCACTCAGTATAGCGTAGTGGAAGGGGTTCAATATCGAATATATATCTAGATTCTTCCATAAACTGCATATTCTTTCCATTATGTGGAGGGAAATAAATTGAGGTGAATCGATGATTGAAGAACACAGGCCCTTTATCACTAACCACTATTGTGATTGCCACACTTAGATCTGAATGACAACACGTTTGATGAATACAATCAGCAGAAAGAGTGAGGAGTGTCGCACCGAGCAACAGCGCTCATCTGCCTGATGAATGATGCACAGCTCCTTCAACATTGTGACCTTTGGGAAGGTCATTAGAGCAGCCGCATAAAGACACTCCTGGATGAGTAAATCACTGCTACACTTGTCATTTTTGTGTGCAGTTTGTTGAAACGCATCTAAATCACAACCAGTGGCTTATCCACGAGAGCACCAAATCAGACGGGACATTCAGGACTCATTAATTCCCCTGAAAGTTACATAAGATCTGTGTAGCAACCAAAACAAGGGTTGCTCTGTTTCAATCAGTTCCAATGTTAACAGTATATTATATCACTTGTGGTGAGGACACAGAAATAAAAATAAATGTATTTACCTATTTTATATTTGATCTGCTGGGTGAACAGGCCAAAAATGTATTGATGACTATTGTGTTTATTATCTGTACTTTGTTTGAAACCCCTTTTAGCGACATCCATGTACATTGACTTGTAAATGTCACATCTCTTACCCGTGTCTTGTCGAAACTGGTGCATGGACTGCAGGTCGATGATGTAGGCAGTGAGCTGGGCATCCACCTGCCCCAGGACTACAGTTCCCCGAGCATCCCCCTTCAGTACATTCTCAACATGGTGGCAAACCACGGCACTGTAGGGCCTCCAGCGGCCATGTTCGTTCATCCACTCCCAGACCACCACCCTGGCAAGGTTCTGAGGAGGGTATCCCAGACCATTGACAGGTACCAGCAGCCCTGATCCTGGACGAGCCATCTCCTTTGTGGTGTCTGCGCTTCAGCTACTGGCTATGTCCCACGCTAGAACAGCACTGCAACTGTCAGTCAACTGACACACTGGAACATTTTCATCACCGCCAAACAGATAAGGCTTGAATCAGCTATTAGTATAGTACTCCTCGATTATCTCATGCTGCTCTCACGCAGGCAGCTCTGCAGGAGTCATGGTCTACAGGTGCTTTGTGACTGCTGGCTCTTTGATCAGCCAAAAGCAGCCTCTGGCCTCTTGTGTCTTGGTGTTTGAAGTGGCAGACGATGATGATGATGATGGTGATGATGATGGTTATGATTATGAGATTTGCATTGGTGACAGTCTTAGTCCTCCACAGCCGACCACAGCAGATCAGCAGCAGGTAGACAGGAGAAGTTCTCTAAACAAGAGACAAGGAGCAGAAACACACTGGTAAACAAATGCTGTGATCAATCCCATGAGTTATGTCTTAACAGTCAGTCACTGCTTTATAGGAGATAACACAAAACGGAAACAGTTCTGTGCCATAGTCCCATTAGTCGCCTCTAGGCAATACTGTTTACATACAGTGCGGTGACAAAAAAATGTATACGAGCTTTTTCAGCAGCAAAATAATAGTGACTGTCATCAGATTTGTGTAGAGGGGACAAAGCAGTGTGCAAAAATAGCAAGAGGCTGTCATGATCGTAGCAGACAGAATCTCACTGTTTTCAACACAAGCTTTTCAGGTGCAGTAAATGCAAAGACTGGTCTGTTGCTTCTCACTACTATAACTCATCATACTGAATGTTTTCATGGCATGCAAATTGTTTTTTTTATTCTGGCGATACAGACCTGTAGGCTGCAGTTGTGGTGCCACACATCTCTCAGGTAGAGGCTGCATTTCACAGGCTCCGGCCGAAAATCAGATTGCAAAAGAAAAAAAACCGAGGTGCAAAATGTCGAAACGCACCTGCTTTTTCACATCTGTGATTTGTACGTTTCCCCGTATCATTTAAACTGAAATCTTCCTTCACACCCACCTCCTACAGCTCCAGTAATCCACTGTTATTGCAGAAAGCCAAGACGTCGTTTTATTCCCGTGGATCTGCTACAGACTACAGCAGCTTGTTGGTCCGCTCTGTCAAAGTGAATGCATGCCCCAGTTGCACGGTTTTCAGTGTGTGAGATGCAGAGCCATTTCGCCTTGGACGCGCATGACTGCCTGTAACGAGAGACAGCATGCGTGCAAACAGTAAACACGCATTTTATGCCGCCCGCAAATTACGCAAAAAAAATATCCTGGCGCACCTGTATGGATATCCGTTGAAAATCATCCAAAGTGTCAATTACATCAAAACAAAATTATACAACTTCCGGTATCTGGTTTCAAAATAAAACCCCTGTTTACTAGATAATAATTTACTGGTTACGGTACACTGCTAACATAAACAAGAAGAACATAAATAAACATACTGTATATTACCATACCATTTAGTATGCCATACAAACTAACTCCATATGTTGTGTATCCTGCATGCAACAGTGTTTACGTTGCAAGACTAGATGCAGTATATAAAAGTAATAGAACAACTTTGATTTGTAAAACAGCTTGCTTTTCTGGATTTTCTGACCCACAATCCTTTGCACAACAGATAACTGGGCAATAAAGTCAAAGTGTAAAGGGCAATATTAAGAGCAGAAGAAGAAATATACCCCAAATGTATGAATGCTGCATGCAACAGTATACTTAGTAAGTGCAATTACAAAACCTACTCACGTAAAAGGTATTTGCGATTTGAAACGCTTTTATTTATTTATTATTTTTGGAATATGCATCCTATGAAATCAATCAGGTAGACATCTGCTACTCTGCATATACATGTTTGTCTATATATGTTTATAAACTCAAATGTATTGTTGGTTTTTATGTATCTTTCCCAATAGTATAATGTATGAAAACCCAAAGCATTCATTGGTAGTATTGACTAATCTCTGGGCCTTCTGAGGCCTTGTTGTCACTCTACTTCTTGAAATCAGTGCAAATTAACCTGTTGCCAAATAACACTAAAACCTACTGTATGGATGATGGGGATAGCTTAGATGAAATAACTTACTTCAGAAGCATTACTATGATTTGTGAAATTGTGACCATACTACAATAGGGACTTCACTGAAGGCATTGTGATATTGAGATTTGAAAGAAAACTACATCAACAATTTATAACCATGAACCTGAGTATTCTGAGGGTCCTGTGCTGTGGAGGACATCCTGCCTAGTTTCTGTACCTAAAACGCTATGTCCTTGTGGCTACAAGGACTTTTAATGCACACTTTGTATTCATTTTATGTTTATGTAAATATTTATTCAGCCTATTTTAATTATATTACGGTGCAACTGTCATGAAGCCTAATTTCCCCCTGGGATTAATGAGGTATTTTGATTGAGCAATTATCACATCCCTGCAGAACATCTAAAATATGCTTTATGCATTTTGTTTGTTTTGTGTGATTGATTTTTTTTCAAAATAATATCGTTTCTTCAACTATTCACACGACAGAGGCTAAATCTGCCATGGTTGGTCAAAGACATATAGGCCTACTCTTGAAGCTCATCTGAAAGAAAATAGAGGAACAAGACAAATCTTCTTCAAACATTGCAAACATCATTATTTATTTGAAGTAGGGCACCATCGTGTGGCGTTTTGTAATAATTACATCTTCTACAGGAAATCGTTTTCTCTCCACGTTTCAACATTATAATTTATTTACTACAACATTTATTTGACAGCTATAGGTGCTGTTCACTTTTTACAGATTCATATTCTCTCAAAAATATGACTTTATTCAACAACCATCAACTGATGATTTATTATAATAGATTATTAAGCTATCGGCCAGTAAAAAAAAGCCGTTTTACATTACGGGCCTTTATTCTCATTTTTAAATAATGATATTGTAATAATATGGTTATTAACCTGAAATCGTCCATTCTGCATAACAGAGTAGGTTAGGTCGATTATTATGCTAATATGTCTAACTAAGCTACACTTTATCCTACCTCTGTAAACTCCAGAAACTAAAAAAAGCCAAACTGACTCATTTTTTATTTACCTGAGTAAATAACAGAAAGATCTTAAAGAAGCAAACCCACCAAAAAGCATTAGACATTTGATTTTAGAGCGAAACTGCAGCAGATATGAGGGGAATGTTTTGATTTGGTAAGTGCACATTTTGTGACGTTTTTTGTTGTTCTCTACCACTGAATATAAGCTTTATTATCTTATAAACAATGACAGTCTATGTATGGTCAAATGTACATCGAAATATAGATGTATTGCGTAATGCGATGGAACGCAGAGCTCATGGAATTGAGAACATCTTTTTTCTCTGTCTTCAAAATTCCGTCGATCCAGAACAGAACGTCGCGGTATCTATGGTTACTGGCTTTGAAACAGCTATCAGGTCAAAACTTTGCAGCTCTTCAGACGACCACACCTCTGAGACAGAGACCCTCACCCATGCCCTTTTTCATCAAGACATCCACAGACGACCCACTGACAGAGGCCAGGTGCGACCATGAAGGAGGGAGTGAGTATAACTGCTTTTGACATCCATATTGGACTGGTAAGTAGGCCTACCCATGATTTTTCAAAACCTAACTTACTCTCATGAGGGATAGCCCAAAAAGTCAATATTAGGTGAAATTCTCCTTTTAAATTAACCAATTAATGTATGAAGGACTTTCCCCTGCAAGTTTTAAACCAAAACTAAAGTGAACTGGACACTAATTACAAAGATGAACATACAGATAAACAAGCACACGGTGCACTTTTACAGAAATAACTTAAGTAAAATTATGTTTTGTTATAATTGTATCGAATTTAATACGTTTTATTTATATTTTAAGGCTTTGGTATTTGATCATGCTGCTCTTTGCATGCATCTCCTTGATATTACATATAAGAAAGACATCAAGCAGTTAATCAAAGTTAAGTCAAGTAGGTTTTAAAATGTATGACAGATGCTTGCTGTAAAAATAACGGATAATTTACTAAAGCAATCTTAATCTGAATGTTACTAGTATTTGAAGCTCTCAGATAAAGGGAACAAAGTGTAAGACAGTTAAGGTTTCAACTACATATAAAATGTCAATATTGTTTATGCAGAGGGTATACTCTGTAAGTACATTTCCTGCAATCAAATTGTTACTCAAGTAAAAGTACAACAATCAAACTATCAAAATAAACTAAAAGACCAAAAGTAAAACTACTCATGGAGATTGGCACATTTTAGCATGATATAAATGATATGTTTTTCTAACAATTATTGATGCATTAATGTGTTTATCAAAGCTGGTAAAGGTGCAGCTAGTTTTAATTACTTTGTATGCTGCACGGTAGCTTTTGAATTTACTCCAGGTGTAACTATTTAAGTATTGATTATATTTCAACTCATTAATCCAATTCTGCAAAGTAACTAAAGATATGAAATAAATGTAGCTGAGTAAAAGTACACCATTTACCTCTGAATTGTAGTGGAGTAGAAGTACAAAATAGCAAAATATTGAAATGCTCAAGTAAAGTATAAGTATTTCATCATAATTGTACTTGAGTACATTACTTGAGTAAATCTACTTAGTTACTTTACACCACTGCGTATTTCAGATTTGAATTTAAGTACATCATTTGAGTGAAATACTTGTCTGCTTTCATCACAATATTTGATTATCCTTAAATGAACATCTAATTCAGATGTGGAGGTTATTTTCCCATGTTATGTACTTTTTGGATGTATAATCTATGTATATATAAAATGTGTTGTACTGCAGTCAAATATTAATCACCAAAAGCACTTTTAATGGTTTGAAAACATTTAATTGTGATGCTTTACTGCAAACATGTCCATTTGTCTATTTGTTTGTATTTTAATTAAGCGCCACTACATTGTGCTACTGATTTCTGCATTTATAATGTTGTTTGTGAAAACTTTTAATTAACTCATAGTTAGCTTGATTTACAAATAGATAGATGGATAGGTAGATAGATATAGATAGATAGATAGATAGATAGATAGATAGATAGATAGATAGATAGATAGATAGATAGATAGATAGATAGATAGATAGATAGATAGATAGATAGATAGATAGATAGATAGATAGATAGATAGATAGATATATAGATAGATTTGCTTGATAAATAGCTGAAGTTCGCTCTCTAAATAGCGAACGTACGCTATTTAAATAGCACACAGAGAGGTTAATTGAGTTTTAAATTACGAGAGCCTCCAATTTGGCGATAGCTAGCTAGATAGTACGGTGGCCCGGAAGTACAAGACACCACAGCATTTCACAAAACACCACAGCATTTCAGAAAACACAACAGCATTTCAGAAAACGCCGCAGCATTTCAGAAAACGCTACAGCATTTCAGAAAACGCAACAGCATTTCAGAAAACGCTACACCATTTCAGAAAACGCAACAGCATTTCAGAAAACGCAACAGCATTTCAGAAAACGCAACAGCATTTCAGAAAACGCTACACCATTTCAGAAAACACAACAGCATTTCACATTGGACGGAAAGGGTATTCCTTTAGGGAGAACACTTCTTGTTTGTGATTGGACAGAGCCAGCCAGAGAAGCACTGCTGTGATTGGTTGTTTTTGCTGCCAGTCAAGAAATGACGCTTCGTGATTGGTCAGCACCCGACAGCGCAACATGTCCCAACACATCAACCGTTAGCTGTTAGCACACACTCAGAGCTCACAGCTCCTCATATCTGTTCAGAAACTGGACAAAAGTTAAACAAGTACAAACCACAGACTGTCTATGTCATGGCGAATACAGTCGCTGCTTTATTTATGTCTGTATGACGCTGTTGTGAGTGTGGACGGAGCAGCTACAGGTTTAGCCTGATCGATCCGCCCCCTCTCCAGCACGTCTTGTTTGAATGACAGGAGTAAACACTGACAGCTGCGGTGAAACTCGACAACAAAATGAACATATTGACTGTGATTTAATTGTAATACACGTTTCAAAGTGATGCCGAAGTAACTACATACTGATACCGGTTAGTAAAAACCATGAATTAATGCTTTGACAAGTCTGCAGACAAGACGGCAGGCGAAAAGCTTTTAAAATGCGTGTTTTCTGAATGGAATCGGATCCATCAAGCTAAACAAACCTGTCGCTGCTCCGTCCACACTCACAACAACGTCATACAGACATAAATAAAGCAGCGACTGTATTCGCCATGACATATACAGTCTATGGTTTGTACTTGTTTAACTTTTGTCCCGTTTCTGAACAGATATGAGGAGCTGTGAGCT